AAGCCCTGGGAGCTGCGGGAGCTCTGGAGCATCCTCTAGCCCCTGTGGCACGGCACATCTGCCGTGCGGCGAAGCTCAGCTGCGGGAGCGAGCTACAGTCTTGTCCCCTCTCCTCCCCCCTAGAAACGCAGCCGGTCAGCCAAAGCCTGGACCAAAAAAAAGTTTCTCCTCCAAAAGCTCTGGTTTTTCTCCTGCTGGTTTCATGTGTCAGCAGCCAGGAAGAGACTGCGCCTGGGGGAGTTTGGCAACGCTCCTCACCTGCCCTCCCATGCTCATGTCCCTGCACACCGTCCCTCCCTGTCCTGTGCATGTGACACGGCAGGAGACACTCGCATCTCCCCAGGGCCCGTCATGCCCCTTTGGGGATTGCTCCTGGCCTGGGGAAGGGCCATTCTTGCGCCCTAGCGCTGGCAAAACGGGGAGATTGAGACCACTGCCAAAGGAGGCAGGTGATTCCAGCCAGCAGAGCAGAAACATAACCCTGGAGAGGCGTCTCCGGGTGACGGCAGAGCAAAGAGCCAGGCATCTGTGCCTGCTGTTGCTGGGCCGGTGCGAACCCGAGAAGAGGAAGAGGATGGAGAGAGGCAAAATGCAGAAACAGGCGAGGAAAGGGAGGAGGAAGGAAAGGGAACGTGGCTCAGTCTGCTCTGTCAGGAAGCCCTGCAAACGGGGAGGCGTCTTCTGCCCGCTCTGCTGCCAGCTCTGCTTTGCAGGGAGAAGCCAAGCGTTCAGCCCCTGCCGGAGAGCCCGGCCATCTGCTCCCGGCCAAGCCCGGCGCCGGGGGTTGCTTTCCAAAGGATGCTATCGGGTGAGGAAGAGGTGGGAGGGAGGCAGGCTGAGGGGTTCACCCTGCCAGGGGACGGCTGCAAAGCCAGGCTCTGCGGGGAGGGCGGCTGGCCGTACTCAGTTGATGCCCACTGTGCAACGCTCCTGCCCAGCGCGGCTGGGTTAAAGGCTCGGGCGCCGCAGCACGGAGCGACCCCGCGGCTCTAACCCTGGGAGCCAAAGGGCTGGGAGGAAGGGGACGATCCACGTCCACCAAGAGGGGCAGGGGGCAGGGGCGGAGCTGCGGGGCTCGGGGTCAGGCTTGTGCTGCTTTGGCAGCGCTGCGGCAGGGAGGCTGCAAAACGCTGGTTTAATTTAAGGTCGGAGAGGAGTTTGTCGCAGTTTTCTGGGTTTTATTTTTACCTTCAGAGAGATGAGCAGTGGCATCAGGGAATGAAACAGAGGGAGGGAGTTAATTAAACCCTCCTGGCAGGGCACACGCTCCCGGCACCCACCCCGGGCTCCCTGTTGCACCTGGCAAGGAGGCACCCGAGGCTGGGACACGGCAGATCCTGTCCAGTCCCCTCTGTCCTTGCCATCACAGCCAGGCAGAAGACACTCTTGTGTGTGATATTTGGGGTAGGTCCCTGCCTCGGGGCAAGGTTTGGATGAAGCTTTTCTTTGCAGTGATTTGCTCAGCCTTACCCCACGGAGCAGCTTCCCTGGTGATGCGTCCGGCCTTTGCCCCAGGCACTTTCTCCCCCTCCCGGGAGAGCATCCCTGCCATGCTTGCCTCCCCCCCGCTGCACCCACTCCTGCTGGGTAAAGGGTTGCGGCAGGCTGAGCACGAACCCGATCCGCAGAGAGCCCGATCCTGCTCTGCCTGCAGTGGGCACAGTACAAAACGCAGCACAGCTCCTGCCCAAATCCAGTCCCTGGCACTCGAGCGGCTTTGGCTCTAAGGCCTGGACAGCCTAAAAAAGCAGCGTTGCAGCTTCCCCTCTCCGCGCGCAGCTCACGCGTCGCAGCAGAGACACGCGAGAGGGAACCGCACCGGCTTTCCCCAGCGGCTCAGATGCAGCCTCCAGCGCTGAGTGGCACTGAGCTGGAAATCAAGGGTCTGCTCTTCCGCCAACGGCAAGGAAAACATAGCCGACATGCTCCACCGGACCAGACTCATTGTACTGCAGCAAGGGGGTGTGGGTCTACCTCCAGAGAGAAAGTACATGGAGTCCCCCACCCAAGGGCTTTCCCATTTAATTTATGTAGGTAAAATGAGTAAAGATTCCCTCAGCCCCTGGAGAGCAGGGAAGAGGAGGTTGACCCTGGAGAGGGTTGGTACATGGCCCCTTCGGAGAAAAGATGCTCCTGAAAAAACTTCATTATTTACCCCATAGATTGATGGACTCATCTGCCCGGCCAGGTCGGGGGTCCTGGGGGAAGCACCCTTGCTGAGACCCAGCACGGGTGGGTGGCACGTGGGCCCCCAGCACGGGGTGGGATCGCAGAGCCCCAACAGGAGACCTGCTCCTTTGGGGCAGCGCTGGTGCAGGCACGAAACGAGGCAGGGACCGAGAGGAAGACCCTCTCCCTGGCGGGGGGACCTCGTGTGCAGACATGAAGCCTGGGAGAAGCGAGGGTCCGTCTGCGCCCAGCAGCCTCAGTGAGTCTGCCAAAGCTGGACAGGAATATGCAATAGTTCAATATTCAGTAATGCACCTATGAGCACACCGGAGCCACGCAGGGCCTCAGCACGGCTTCTCCCCAGCCACCAGCGGGTTGTCACCCACCGTCACCCTCAGCCTGACCAAATGTGCGTGGTGCTGTGGAGGGCA